TTTTTGTAGCATATTGAGTCTATTGACTATTGAGCATGATTAACGTTGGTTTTACTTATAAAGAAGTCTACTGAATTTTTTGTAGCATATTAAGAAAAGAACTTATCTGACATATTGCTTCTGTATATTTTTGAAATGGGTTTTTGGGGATATACCCTTGAGTCATGGGTACTTGTAAATTTACCCCTCAAATCATTTACTTTTAAATTTGCCCTTCGAATTGCTCTTTCCTCAAGTCCCCAAATCATTTAATTTTAAATTTGCCCCTCAAATTGCGTTCTCTCCTCAAGTTTACCCTCCATGCTAAAGGCTGTCAAAATGTTCTTTACTGTTAAATTACATTTATCTCCCCCGGTTCAATTTTTTTTTAAGAAAAAATCAGCAATAAATCTAAATATTCATTAAAATTCTAAAACTCAATCCCTCATTAAAAAAAAGAGAAATCATATGCCTTTCGCATGCTTATGCCTTTTTTCACGGAATTTTCCTCGAGCCTCCAGTTGAAATAGATTAAGCAAAAGTTGAGTTACTTGAGTAGGCGATTACCTTTAAGATCCAACACAAGCTCAACTAAAGATCCAATTAGCTTTCTGCTTCCTATCATCATCTAATTTCTTTGTTGCTAGAGTTCTGTTTGGTTGATGACAATATATGCACTTCGATTTTGGATTTGGATTTGGGTAGGAGCCGAGACGGAGTGGGCAGAAGTCTAGGGTGTTGATTTGATTTCTCTTTTCTTAATTGATTAAATTGGAAATATTATAATGGGTTGGTTTGAAAATGGTATGGAATTTATATCTATCTGTTTGATTATTTTGATAAACAATTAAAATAAGGATGTAAAGGCAATTTAACAATAAAAACCATTAAGATCTTAACACCGTTTAAGATAGGGTGCAAATTTGAGGGAAGAAAGCAATTTAAGGAGCAATTTTGGAATCATGATGATTTTGAGGACAAATTTGAAATTACATATAATTTAAGAGGCATATATATAAAAAAAAATCTTTTGAAATACCAGACAATATATTAAATTTTGTTTCTTAAAGAAGTCCTTTGAAAATTGATTATCCAACCTCCATATTTGTTAAAAACTAGTTTTTGTGCACATGCAATGCACATGATTAAATATTAAAATTATTTAATTTTTATTTTTTTACTATAAAATAAGTCAGATTCATTTTGAGTTAAAATCTATAACATGGATTATTATATTTGCCATAAATTTTAATTAAATATTTTAAAACAAATTTGTGAAATAGATCTGTGTGTTAAACTGGGATCATTATACTTTTATATACTTGCATATACAAAATTATTTTTTTAAATTTTTATATATCAAACTTAATGTTACATATTTGTTTATTGGATCAAACCATCGATGTCCAATTTGTTTATCTTAGTCATAAAATATAGTGTTAAGTTTGAAAAAAATGTAATAATATATTGTTAATGTGTTAATAAATATATAACCGAATACTTAATATTAAGATGATTTGTATAAGCTCAGCTCAGAGCACATACTTTTCACAATACTGCAAGATGTCTTAATTATTGATAGATTTAAAATAAAAAATAAATACTAAAGATTAATGATAATTCTAGTATAATTTTATATGACAAAAGCATTCACATAAGCATATTAAAAATTCGTGTGAAAATTCCTAATTTTACTCAAAAAATTAAGTTTTACTATAAAATATTCAAAAAAATTATGCTTTATTCCTTCTTGTTTCATATTTAATTGAGCTGAGATCTATCATTCTCCACCTTTATCTTTATCCCATGCAATTCTACAGTAATGTCTTCATCGTTTCAATCAATTGTGATATCATGTCAGTACATAATAAAGAGTAAAATATATGACAAGAGTCTAGAAATATATTAGGATATACTTGGATCAATCAAATTATATTATTATTCATAATTGATATGTATCAGAGACAAAACGTGTTGATAATTTTAAACAATAAAATAGACTGTATGGACGCTCTAACATAACTCTTTTAGTGTAAACAACCTCAATATTAGTTTTAAAAATCTATTGGGGCGAGGAATAAACAACTAACAAATTTGCAGTGGAAGCTAGTGGAACGTAGTATATTCTTAAGAATTATTAATCTTTACTTAATTTGTTTATAATATAGGATCTCATTATTAACTAACTACAAAGCATAGTACATTTTTTTATTGGGCGTTCAAGGCAGGCAGAAGATCTAGGTGAGTCATCATCGCAATGAATGTTATACAATTTAAGTACAAAGAGAAAAGAAGAATTGATCAATGGTGTAGTTGGTGAGGAGAAACTCTAGCATCTTAATTTGGATACGTGGATATATTATAGATGGAAGTGGAGAAGGGTGGATTTGAAAATAGTGGGTGTGTGGGTAATTAATATAGTTTTTGTTTGTGTGATTTTTTTCATTCATTTTCAATATATCTGTGGTCCTGTGGATATATATAGCTACAATATTACTACTCACTTTTGGTTTTTCTGAAAGAGTTTAAGTGTAAAGAAAATATTTTAAATTATCTAATCTGGTTAAAGTAGGATCATATAAGTTAACCTCATATGTGAACTTTATTTTAACCAACACGCATATGTAAGTATTACAATTAGCATTGAGATCTAAGCTACATGTGAGATTCTCTTTGACTTTTATACATATAGCATCTATTTAAATAACAATAGTATAATTAAACTTTGTGATCTGAAGAAAAATAGATCAAATATATAATATAATTAATTGCTTTAAAATAATCTAATATAATCTAATAAGGGGAAAAAATAGATGAAAGTAATGTAAAAATTGTTATAATTTTATAATTCATAATTTTTAAACAATCTAATCTAATCTAATATGAAGAAATAACAAAGACACATACATGTTGAAGGAGATGAAAGTGTTGCGAAAATTATCGTAATTTCTTGATCTAAAAAAAATCAAACATACAATATAATTAATTATTTTAAAATAATCTAATCTATTCTAATACGAAGAAAATAGATATGAAAGTGCTGTGAAAATTATTGTTATTTCTTAATATAAAAAAGATTAAATATAAAATATAATTAATTACTTTAAGATAATCTAATAAGAAGAAAATAATTAAGACACATACATGTAAAAGCAGATGAAAGTGCTAGGAAAATTATTATTATTTTTAGATTATTAGGTAATGTTGCGTGTGAGAGGATAGTAAATGTAAATAGAATTATATTTAAATAATAATAGTATAATTAAACTTTAAAACTAATTATGCACTACCATGAACTACTTGAATTTTAGTCAGTAAGAGATCATTATGTTGTGTCCTCAGATCGCAGCCTTTGGTTTAAATTTTTATTTTTTATTTTGGAGAATGATTTGTCTCTTTAATTTGTTTGGTGGATTTTGCAAATATTCTTGTTGGCCTTCTTGTTTTGATGATGATTTAACAAATAATTTACAACTAATATTGGTTTTAGTATTTTGCTTTTGTGTTGTTTAGTATACACAGGAAAACGAGCTGCATGGATATTGAAGCCTATGCAAATCAAGTCAATCAATCAAGTTCAAGCTTCAGAAGATTATTTCTTGGTATACTTAGTATATGTTTATACAAATCAAGTCAATCAATCAAGTTCAAGCTTCAGAAGATTATTTCTTGGTATACTTAGTATATGTTTATATAATGTGTGTTAATTCTATAAGCTCAAATATACAAGATTATTTCTTGGTATACTTAGTATATGTTTATATAATGTGTGTTAATTCTATAAGCTCAAATATACACACACATATACATTTGTGAATTTTCTCAAATATAAGTGTCTTTATGCAAAATATATTTTAATATGCTTTGGACTTCACAAACGTTGTTAACATCTTTTACTAAGTCTGTAAAAACATTACACAAGTTTTCAGAACTTGATTTGAGCTAAATGTCAAAATCAACATGTTTAAAACACGTGTATTTTTAGTGCTTTCGAATTTTTCTGAGATTTCATAAATGGTAAGAGCAAATTGAAAAATTCCTTTTCCAACATGTTCATAATCATGTTTATAAACCTTTTCCAAAGTTTTTATATTTTTTGAAATTTATTTACTATTTTTTAAAAGACTTTCAAATTTGTTTTCAAAAAATCAATACAGGCTGAAAATTTGTTATAAGTCAACTGATGGCATTTATTAGTCAACTGAAGAAATGTCCTGCAATCTCAAAAAGTTTCTGTTTTAATTCTGATCGACTGACCAGTCGACTGATGAGGTCATCAGTCGACTGATCATGCTTATCAGTCGACTGATAAGTTGTCGTTTGTCTATAACGGTCAGCTCATCAGTCGACTGACGCAACCCGTCAGTCAACTGATTTGTCCCAACGGCTATTTTTCCAGCCTTTTGTAGTTTTGTCTTTTTGTTGTATTTTCTTGGGTTTTGAGATTTGGTTTTTCATCCTATATATACCCCTTGCTATTTCACTTCTGAACATCATCTAAGAGGGTTTTTAGCAAGAGTTTGAAAGTGTTTAAAGTTTGTTTAAAAGTTTCTAAGCTTGAATTTACAAAGAGGATGCTTGCATTTTTAATTGAGGAATTCATCATCAATCATCTTTAACCTCTATTGTGTTTATAGAGAAGTTTTCCTAACTATTTTCTCTAGGAATTTGTTTTTGATTTTCATATTATCATCATTGCTAGTTTTGCTAATTGAGTTAGATTTCGTTTATACTCTTTTTATCACACACACCTTATTTGAGCTTGTAGGATTTCATACATCATATATTGGGTTGTGAGTTTGTGAT